GGGAGGCCCCAGGCTCGCTGATCCAGGTGCCAAGGGCCCGGCCGCAGCTGGGCGGGGCGCGGCCCCGGGAACTTTCTGTGTTGAGCCTGGAGCGCTGCCTGGTTGGAAGTTTCGCACTAGACTCGTGTTTGGCCTGGGTTCGCATCCTCTCCACTTCTTCCCTGCGACTTTCAGCCCTGAAATCCGTTTCCTCATCCGACCACTGGCCCCATAGCAGGGCTGACTTATCAGACAGTGTTTAGGGCCCACTAAAATGTTTTAATTTTTTTTTAAATCAGAAGAACAACTGTTATAACAATGAGTTCAGCCTGGATTCTATTAGTATATGGATAACTGGTATGAAGAACTAATGCAGTATAATATATAATTTTAAATATTCTTTCTGAAAGAAGGGCCCACGAAGGCCAAAGTGCCTAGAGCCCACAAATGTCATAAGGCAGCCCTGGGAAAGAGAGCCCAACTCCTGTGGTAGCTGCTGAGAATAACAGATTCTTACCTGGGAGACGGGGAGAACCTCGGTTCTTGTCTTCTTGAGGGAAGGATTTTAATCAAGAGAGAAAGTGTAGGAAAGAAAGCAAGGATCTATTGACCGCAGCAAAAATATACTTTAGACAATGAAACAAGGAAGGCACAGAAGTAACGGGAGCCTGGGCTGGGCTGCCTTGGCTCCCTGGGAAGTCAGAGAAAAGGGGAAGAGGGGGCCTGGAGACTGGTTCAAGGGGCTAGTCCAGGACAAGCTGCCTCTGCCCATTGCTCCCCTGGTTGCCAGTCTCATGGGGTCCCTTAGAAGTTGAGGGGGGAGAAATGGGAGGCCTGTGCTCCCTGGAGGGAGAGCACACTGGGACTGAGTTACTGCTGCCCGTTGGCTGCTTCTTTGGTTACAAATCTTGTGGGGTTCCTCAGAAGAGGGGAGGAGGTGGCGTTGGCCTCTTCCCCTGGGGGGCAGAGCACATATTGGGACCTTCATTTTCTGGGGTTTTGAAGGCTGGGCGTTTAGGGGAGGTCTTATATTCATCAGCTTTATGCTGACGTACCAAAATGAGGCTTATTCTCTTAATTTATCTGTCTTTGGGTGTGGTCAGCAGTGGCACTAATTGGATTTCTCTGTCTGTCTCCCTGAGTGGGGTGAACTAAGCTCTTTACCCTCTGGCTGGTAGGAGAAGTGTAAACCATTTACTCTTCAGTTTCCTGGGTGTAGGGAAGGTAGGATTTACTGGGTGGCTGCAAACTGCTGTTTAACTCTCTGTCTCATTTTCCCTGTTCCACCTGTCCTGGAATGTTCCTAGCTTTTACTAGGATGATGTTGTTTTACTAAGATGATGTTGTTTAAGCCCATAGCACAGTTCCCAGCACATAGTAGGAAGTCCAAAAGCAAGAGCATGAAGACGGTCAGGGACTGTTTTGAACAGAGATGTTAACACCACCTGATCTGGATGCTTTAAGGGCATTAGAGACAAGAGCACTAGATATTGATAATAGCAATGGTGGACAGAGGGCTCCCCAGGAAAGCACTGTGCTTTCATTCATTCCTTCTTTCATTCCTTCGGACAGTGTTTACCAAGTTACCGTAAGTGCCTGGCTCTGTGCTGCTCCTGGAGCTCATAGGTGAACAAATTGGACATGATCCTTGCCCTGGGGGAGGGAGCCTCCATTCTACCAGGGAGCAGGATGAGGGGAACAAATAAAACAAGGACAGAGGGTGGCAAGCACTAGTGTTCTGTGATAACAGGAGAGAGTGCCTTTGGGCGATCGGAGAAGGTCTCTGAATCATGACAAAAGGAGTCAAGCAAGCCATGACCAGGAGAGAACATTTTAGGAGAGCAGAGCTGCTTGCCATGTGTCCTTGGAACACAAAGGCCATTGAAAGTGGCACCTGGTGGCCCTGGAGAAGCCTGGATGAAGAGGCCGAGGAAGGCTGCGCCAGGTCCTAGCGGGGAGCTGGATTTTTAACGGCGGGCTATTAGGGAGCACTTAGAGCACTGAGCGTGGAGCTTGCACACAGAAGGCGCTTAGTAAGTATTAGTTACTATGACAAGAAGGAAACGTTTGAGGGTTTGGGGTTTGCTTGCTTTGCGGGAGCGACAGACCGTATCTGGGTTCTCGATGCTGCGTCTGTCAGCTGAGGGGGGAAGACTTAACATTGGGGAGCTTGGCAGTGGGAACGCAGGGTAAGGTACTTCTCCTCGGTGGGAGTTAAGGGGCTGAGAGGGGACTGGGGCAGCTGCTGTAAGATTGAGATTCAGTCCACAGGACGCGGCAGCCTTTGGGGGGCACGAAGTGTGCCCGGGATGGTGCCCGGGGGAGACGGGGAACCCAGGAGGAAGGCAGGTTTCTGCAGGGGACTACCATGAGTTCAGATAAGGCCGCGCAGCATTGGAAGTGCCTTCGGAACCTCCAGGTGGAGAAGCCTTGCAGGTGGCTGGAGGTGAAAGTCTGTGACTCCAGCTCCTGTTCACAAAATGAGCGGGTATTAAGTCCATGAATGCCTGCTGGTGGCTTGTTGCAGGTTCATTTTCATGTGCTTTCTGAATGGATGGCTGTTAAACTCCTACCTTATCTCCTCTTGGATTTCCTTTTATAAAATAGTGCCTGAATTGAAAGCAGACAAATTAATACATGTATAACTAATTGCTTATATAGAAGCATGGATTATTTAACTCACCTCTCCCTCAACCAAAAGGTTCCTCATTAAGTGGATTAATAAACAGCCCTTAATGAAAGCATTATATCCCGTCTGTAAGTTGCAGTGATTTAGCATGATTTGGTATATAGGCCTTGTCTCCTGAAATATTTGTTGACTTGTTTTTGAAAAGCCTATTGAAAATGTCCAAATTAGCTTGCATTACTTAAAATAAATATTCTAAAGTCATTTTAAGATGTTTTCCTGTTTAAGAAAAATTCTGATGGAAAATTTCCATGGAAATGAGGAGTTGGTTTCACTTAATTCATTCGAGGAATGTTGATGGAGCCCCTTCTCAGTGTCTTGTCCTGGGATATAGCTGTAAACCATGGACACAGTTTAGTGCTAATGTTGGAAAAAAGAAACACTGTCTCTCATGATAGGGAAAGTGCAGAGGGTAGGGCTTGAGCTCGCGGAGAGGTCAAGGAATACCTTTCT